GACCCCACTGAGGAGTACCAAAAGAAACTACACCATCTGCTCAAGAAACTCCCTGCTACAGCATGGGAACAAATCTACATAGACACACCCCCAGAGCCCTGACCAGGGGTATTCTATCTGCTATCCAAGATCCATAAACCTGGAAATCCTGGATGCCCCATCATCTCAGGCATTGGCACTCTTACAGCAGGATTATCTGGCTATTTGGACTCTCTCCTCAGACCCTACGCTACCAGCACTCCTAGCTATCTTTGAGACACCACCGACTTTCTGAGGAAACTACAGTGCATTGGTGATCTTCCTGAAAACGCCATCCTGGCCACCATGGATGTAGAAGGTCTTTATACCAATATTCCACATGAGGATGGACTACAAGCTGTCAAGAACAGTATCCCTGATGAGACCACGGCATACCTGGTGACTGAGCTTTGTGACTTTATCCTCACTCACAACCATTTCAGATTTGGAGACAACTTATACCTTCAAGTCAGTGGCACTACTATGGGTTCCCGCGTGGCCCCACAGTATGCCAACATTTTTATGGCTGACTTAGAACAACGCTTCCTCAGCTCTTGTCCCCTAGTGCCCCTCCTCTACTTACGCTACATTGATGACATCTTCATCATATGGACCCACAGGAAGGAGGCCCTTGAAGAATTCCACCTGGATTTCAACAATTTCCACCATTAACCTCAGCCTGGATCAGTCCACACAAGAGATCCACTTCCTGGACACTATAGTGCAAATAAGTGATGGTCACATAAACACCACCCTATATCGGAAACCTACTGACCACTATACTTACCTACATGCCTCCAGCTTCCATCCAGGACACATCACACGATCCATTGTCTACAGCCAAGCCCTAAGATACAACCGAATTTGCTCCAATCCCTCAGACAGAGACAAACACCTACAAGATCTTTTATCAAGCATTCTTAAAACTACAATACCCACCTGTGGAAGTGAGGAGACAGACTGACAGAGCGAGACGGGTACCCAGAAATCACCTACTTCAGGACACGTCCGACAAGGAAAATAACAGAACACCACTGGCCATCATGTACAGCCCCCAGCTAAAACCTCTCCAGCACATTATCAACGATCTACAACCTATCCTGGAAAACGATCCCTCATGCTCCCAGACCTTGGGATGCAGGTCAGTCCTCGCTTACAGACAACCCCCCAACCTGAAGCAAATACTCACCAGCAACTACACACCACACCACAGAAACACTAACCCAGGAACCCTGCAGCAAACTTCGTTGTCTACTCTGTCCCCATATCTACTCTAGCGACACCATCAGAGGACCCAACCACATCAGCCACACCATCAGAGGCTCATTCACCTGCACGTCTATTAATGTGTTATATGCCATCATGTGCCAGCAATGCCCCTCTGCCATGTACCAAACCAGACAGTCCCTATGTAAAAGAATGGACACAAATCGGACATCAGGAATGGTAACATACAAAAGCCAGTAGGCGAACACTTCAATCTTCCTGGACATTCTATAACAGATTTGAAAGTAGCTATATGTGAACAAAAAAACTTCAGAAACAGACTTCAAAGAGAAACATCAGAAATAAAATTCATTTGCAAATTTAACACCATTAATTTGGGCTTGAATAGGGACCGGGAGTGGCTGGCTCACTACAAAAGCAGCTTTGCCTCTCCTGGAATTGACACCTCCTCATCTGTTATTGGGAGTGGACTACATCCACCCTGATCAAATTGGCCCGGTCAAAACTGGTTCTCCACTTGTGAGGTACCTCCCTTCTCTTCATGTGTCAGTATATTTATGTCTGCATCTGTAATTTTCACTCCCTGCATCTGAAGAAGTGGGGTTTTTACCCATGAAAGCTTATGTTCAAATAAATCTGTTAGTCTTTAAGGTGCCACTGGACTCCTTGTTGTTTTTGTGGATACAAACTAACACGGCTACACCGTGATACAGTCACTGTTTCGCCTTAACTATGTCAGCATATGTGCTACACCGCTCATGGAGGTGGAGTTATTATGTCTGTGCAGGGTGAGGGGACTTACTTCAGCAGAAGCAGCATTCTAGCATAGACACTGACATAATTAGGTTGACATAAGTGACCTTGCGTTGACTTAACTCTGTAGTGTAAACCAGGCCTCAGCCTAGCTCAGAGCTGACCAGGAAAGAAAACGGAGCTCTGCTTCTCTTGATGGGAGAGAATCAGTATTTGCCTCTCTATGAGTAAAATATATAGTTGTTTTAAATTAGCAATGTTGGATCATTTAAACTGGAAATAACTTGTTGGAGACAAAGGGTCAATACATGCAGTATAACTGCAATATGATTTTTAAAAAAACCTATAAAAATAGTTTTGTGGGTTTTTTTTCCTTCTGAGGACTGAGACTGTCATGCTGAATTACCAAAAAAAAAAAAAAAAAAAAAAAAAATCGTGGGGGAGAATTGGGAAGCATCCTAGACTCCTGAAGTTTTGCATTTCTGGCTGTTGGGAGTGATTGTTTCATTGCATCAGGTTAATTTTGGTCATAGTTAAATTTTGCTAGAAGCCATGGCAGACTGAACAACAAATTGATTTTTTTCCTGACTATAAGTTCAATGCACAAGGCTTGAACTCCATTAAATAAATCCTCCAGCAGTGGAAGAAGCTCTCTTTTGATATTTTGTAAAATCTCTGAGGCAGATGAAAGATGACAGAGGATGTGACTTTTTATTGGATACCATAGTGTTCTTACATGGCGCATTTTAGTCAAGACAGGTATGTTTTAATCATTGGTATTTCTTTCATCCAGTTAATTAATAATCAATTGAAATTATATTGTTTACCTCTAGCAGGCTCTCTTAATGTATAAAGTGTCTCCTGCATCAATGTTACTACAAGTGTTTTTAGTATAACAGGAGCCTATTAAATTATACATGCAGCACATTTTAAATTAATACTGTCAGCATAATTGCTTATCTTTTATTGCTACAAAAACATAGTAAAACAGTTTCTTTGTCAACATACTGCATAATATTCAATAAATATGTTAAAAATTATAAATAATCCTATCAGGTATTTTCAGGATATTTCACTGTAAAACAGAAAGCAGCAAAGCTGTAGCTCACAAAAGCTCATGCTCAAATAAATTGGTTAGTCTCTAAGATGCCACAAGTACTCCTTTTCTTTCTCTGTAGTAAGTGCAAGTCTTGTGATTTAATGGAAATATTACCAGCTTTAAATTTTATTTTACTATAAACATTTAGGCAAATGCTGGCCATTTTTCAGTGTATTTTTACTTAAAATATTTATTTTAATAAACCATGACTACAGTTCTCATTATGTGCCACTTATTCACTGATTATATTGTGAGCTCACAACTGTGTGTTCAAAAAGTCTGATTTTTTTTTTTAATTTTAACATATTTCAGAACTCAAGCTGAATTGTTTTGTGGACTGAAAGAAGTATTATAGATAGTGAGGATGATAAACCTTCACTGTGTGAGACAGTCAGTGGGGGCCTGATTTTCTTATATACTTGAAAAACTGCAACTCCCACTGACTTCAACTGCAGTTGTTGGTGCTCAACAATTCTGAAAACCAAGACCTGAAAATGTCTTCACCTATTTACTCATAGAGAAGGAAAGTCTGGTAGCCTTCACAAGAGTGCACAATCCAAGCCACAGTGATACTGCTCTGGCACAAGTATGGTGTAGGATGACAGACCACAGAGAGGTCATAAAAGGGTTCCACAGTCCTTTGAATGCAATGGAGCAGTGTGCCACAGTGGCTCTCTCCACAGAGCATGTGGGAGATGGTTCCTAATGAGATGAAGGAAGGGCATGGGTGAGACCATCAGGCCCCCACAAATCTCTGTAGGTCGCTTGTGCAAATCCTTTGTAAATCCTATTTGTTTAGGCTTTACATGAGTGATGTACCTTTCACCATAAATGGCAATGACTGAAATGAGAGAGGTAACATCTTTTATTGGACCAACTTCTTCTAGTGAGAGAGACAAGCTTTTGAGCCACCCAGAGCTCTTCTTCAGGTCAAATGACTTTTAGAAAATAATAGCTCTGGTATGTGAAGAGAAGAAAGCAATCCATTCTATTCCAGGCTTCTTGAGGGTGAAGCTACTGCTGAGAAGCATAATTAAAAATAAAAAAAATCCATTCTCAACTATCAACCTAATGGGATAGTGACAGATATTTCTAAAAACTGTTCTGAAAAATCCATTAAACGTATTCACTAAATAATAATGTTTTATTAACTATCAAGGGAACTATAACTAATCAAAGGAAGTATAACTAATCACTGTATCCAATGAAGTGAGCTGTAGCTCACGAAAGCTTATGCTCAAATAAATTTGTTAGTCTCTAAGGTACCACAATTACTCCTTTTCTTTTTGCGGATACAGACTAACATGGCTGCTACTCTGAAAACTAATCGCTGCAGGTTTCTTTTAAATCCAGTATACTATGTTTGACCTTTATTTATACCAGATAAAAGCCTCCTGATTTTGTGGCTTTCAACCCTCTTCGTAGCTTTTCTGATTTCCCTGTTCAGAAGTAACATTCCCCAGTATACAATTTATGTAGATTAGAGATTTTTTCTATACTTACTTTAAATATCAACTAATTATTAAAGTCATATTTACTGGACTTTAATAACCTCAGTAAGAACCCAATTCTGCAAAGGGCCAAGCACCTAAACTTCCATTGACTTCAATGGAAATTGAGGATGTTTAGTACCATGTAAGGTTTGGTCCCTACTAAGGTAATTTTTATTTTTAATTTGAAGAAAAAAAGCTAGAAATCATCACTGTATTCATGTTGTACCTGAGATATTAAAATCTCAGGCCTTTCATGAAAGAGTGGTGTTCTTTATGAGCTAGGTTACTATGTTTTGAATGTGAGAGAATCAGTGTCAGCTTTTGTTTAATATAGTATAGAAGGGCTGAAACTGTGACAATATCTTATGTTTATCTTTCATGGCTTTTAGTGCTAAGATGGCAGAGTAACCATGGGAGACTGGAATTTTCTTGGAGGCATCTTGGAAGAGGTCCACATTCATTCCACTATTATTGGAAAGGTCTGGTTAACTATCCTATTCATATTTCGAATGCTGGTCCTCGGTGTGGCAGCTGAAGATGTCTGGAATGATGAGCAGTCAGAATTCATATGCAATACAGAGCAACCTGGCTGCAGAAATGTTTGCTATGACCAGGCCTTTCCTATCTCTCTCATAAGATATTGGGTCTTGCAAGTTATATTTGTATCTTCACCTTCCTTGGTCTATATGGGCCATGCTTTATACAGACTAAGAGCCTTAGAAAAAGAGAGACAAAAGAAGAAGGCACAAGTAAGAATGGAACTTGAAGGAGTCGAACTAGAAATGACTGAAGATCGGAAAAGACTGGAGCGAGAACTCCGGCAACTGGAACAAAGAAAGCTCAACAAAGCACCCCTGAGAGGCTCCTTGCTCTGCACTTATGTGATACATATTTTTACTAGGTCTGCAGTTGAAGTTGCATTTATGATTGGCCAATATCTTCTTTATGGTTTCCAGCTCAATCCTCTTTATAAATGTCTGAGAGAGCCATGTCCAAACATAGTTGACTGTTTTATATCAAGACCAACAGAAAAGACAGTGTTCATATTATTTATGCAGTCAATAGCAATTGTATCATTGTTTTTAAACATCTTAGAAATTGTCCATCTAGGGATCAAAAAAATTAAAAAGGGACTTTGTGGGCCTGATAAAAACAGGGATGACTTTGATGATTTCTATGTAAGTAAATCCAAGAAAAACTCTGTAATACCCCACCCTTGTATGGGAACATCCGCAACTCCACAAAGAACTCTCCCTTCTGTCCCTAGTAGTTATACCATGTTAATGGAAAAACAAACTTACACGGCAGGCCATGATCTAAATTCATCTTCAAAGGAAAGTAAATTGCCAGATGAGACGCAAACTACTAATACTTTGGACCATCATCCTCGAAATAACAGCTCAAATAATAATGAAGGCTTAAGCAAGGTATTTGGGACAGAAATTAACGGTAGTCAACAACAAGATGAAAAGAAACATTGCCTCAGTGGCATGCATTCTAATCTAGGTGCTGCTTCCGGTCTGTGCTTGGGAAACCTGGCTGAACTGCCACCTGGAAGTTCATTGCAACCTGATATGACTTCCCCTATTTCAATTAACTGTGCTCGAAAGCTACGTGGAGTCAGTTCCCCATGGAACTGCTCAACAGTAGTTGAGAGTGAAGGGTCTCCAACCGATTCTCCTTCAACGAGCAGCAACCGAGGACAAGACAACTTCAGTGAAAGGAGAGCCCAAGGCCTTTCCAAGACTGACCTAAGAAAAATTGGCAGACCGGACACTCCTGATTCTCTAAGTGAGTTGAGCTCAGAATCCAAACAGAGCAGAAATTGTGAAAGTCCTCAGGCTTTCTCTCCCTCTCGGCGAATGTCATTGGCAAGTAATGCCAGCAGCAGGCGTGCCCCCACCGATCTTCAGATCTAAGTGTTTGTTACCTTACCTATATGTTACATGCATGAGTACTGAGGGAAATTATTGGACACTGTCGCATGAATTATACCTATTTGTAATTGTAGTTAAGTTAATCAACTTTCACCAGCTCTTTCACTGAGGTAATGGAAAGAACTATGCACCCTTGTGCAGTAGTTAAGAACTCTTGAAATGAGAAATTGATTCTACTTCCTCTTAATAAAAAGATGACTTAAAATCTAACAGAGCAGATATCCCCATTATCTTTCCTGTTCCTAAAGCAAACAGATGTAAGTCACTTTTAATTCAACCCAGTAATTCCTGTATGAAGTCCATCCAAGTTCAGCCTCAAAAATCTACGGATCACTGCAATCTGAACTGACTTTTTTGTGGGGGGCAGGGGAGGGGGAGGAGAAGTGATGGACACAGGAGCCATCTTTGTGTGGAGGCTTTGTGCCTCTTCATTGCCTTTTTTCACCCTCACTCCCACATAGCTCCATGCCAGGGGGACTGTGCTGACAGGGATTCGCTTGCTGCAGTTGCCTCTGAAAAGCATGTTAGTGGGGGTGCCACATCAAGGGTGGGGAACATGTGTTGTTTGGTTTGTTTTGTTTTAGGGGGAACATACTGAAAAGAATGGACCTCTACTGCCTCCTCTCTAGATCCGTGGAGCCCAAATTCCATGAAGCACCTGTGAAATATAAAAGGGTTTATGTGAGGATGGGGAGAAGTGAGCACTATGCGACGTAGCCTGCATGCTCCCAGGGAGCAGCCCTAGCTGTTTTGCTGGCCAGGGTGGAAAATGTTTTCAGCACCCTCTCCGCCTGTGCATTGGAGGCCCTCCCCCCCGCGCCCCCCCCCAAAAAAAGGCAAAGCAAAACAAAAAAAAACCCCAAACCAGAAAAGCCAAGTGGTGACACAGCTCCCTGGAAAATTGGTGCCCACGGTGACTGCTCTGCTCACCCACCCCTAGAACAGGCCATACATGCTCTCTTCTGTGCCTCCCCTGAGTTAAATTCACAGTTTCAAGCAATATTTGCATAACTGATAGTGCAACATCAAGGTTAAAACAAGAACAAAAAAACAAAAGCTAGGAAATTGAAAAGTAATTTTTCTTTTAGCATTAGGCATGTTGCACATGCTGAAGTATTTACTATTCTTGTGTATCTTGTTAAATCTATCTTAGTTTTTTCTTTGGTATCTATCAGTTTAGCATCTGAGGTAAATACATAGTTGTATGTTATTCTATTGATATTGCTAAATGACTACCTTACCAATATGTTCCATTAACAATCATGTAGTAATCTTAACTTTTGCATTTTCTGACTTTTAAAATTTTAATTGGGAATACTTATATTTGCAATAATGTATGTGTTTTGCATTTAATTTTCTGATTTTTAAAAGAAGAAATGCCTATGCTTAATGCACTCCTTTTGCACTGTATAAATAATACATAAGTAGCAATAATGTTATTTTTTAAATGGTTATGATTGGGCTTTGAAGTTCATATCTCAGTTCACTGAATTGTGCAGAAGTCTGTCAAGGAGTTTATATTCTGTTGTTTCTGTTTGGAGACAGTTTACTGTAAGGATGTGTCACACATTAATGGCTGCACACAGTATCTTTTCAATGGAAAAACAAACATGAAATTTAGCTAACATTAAAACTTAAGAATTTCCAGAATATGGCAGAATGCAACAGAAATTGTTGAAAGACCCAACAATAAAATATGGGTGTTGTTTTCACATCCAGGATTTTGTCCTAGTCCTGCTAATGATGATGATTTCTAGATCTTATATAATGCTTTTCATCAGTATATCACAGTATATTTTTTATATAATGCTTTTCATCAGTATATACTTTTCAAAGGAGATAAATATAATTATGCCCATTTTACAGATGGAGAAACTGAGGGCAAAGCACTATTTTTTGCAAAGTGTTTGAGTGTGCATAATTCTTTGGTTCCCCCTGTATGGAGCTCTTCAGCTGAAACCTACTCCCCACAGTGGTGGAGATATTTCAGTCATATATAACTTTATTAATATTCATTCAAATTATTATTCAAACCTGGTCATGATCATATTGAAGTGAACACTGTTTACATCCCAAGTGTCAAAGTTCATCTATGTATGTGTTCGTGTGGGAATGATTTTTTTTTTATAGTGGAGGAAAGCATTCCATTAAAGTCTTGTGAAACCACATTTGAGATCTGATCCAAAGTATATTGAAATCACTTAGAGTTTTTCAATTGACCTCAGTGGGCTTTCAATCAGGCCTTTATGATTATAGAAACGTATGTCTGAAAGGGACTTTGAGAGGTTATCTAGTCCAGCCCCCAGCACTGAGGCAGGACCAAGTAAACCTAGACTGTGCCTAACAGGTGTTTGTCCAACCTGTTTTTAAAAGCCTCTAACGATGGCGATTCCACAGTATCCCTTGGAAGCCTATCACAGAGCTTAACTGTCCTTATAGTTTAATTCCCCCCCTCCCCCGATATCTAACCCAAATCTTTTTTGCTTCAGATTAAGCCAATTACTTCTTGTCCTACCTTCAGTGGACTTGTAAAACAATTGATCGTAGTCCTCTTTATTAATAGCCCTTATTTTTGAATATTTTTGAATATTTGAAGACTGTTATCAAGTTCCTCCTCAGTTGTCTTTTGGTTTTGTAAACCTTTTATAATTTTTGTTGCTCTTCTCTGGACTCTCTCCGATTTGTCCACATATTTTGTAAAGTGTTATGTCCAGAACTGGACATAGTACTCCAGATGAGGCCTCCCCACTGCCAAGAAGAGTGGGACAATTACCTTCTGTTTCTTATACAATATCTCTGTTAATACACCCTAGAATAGTAGCCTTTTTGCAACAACATTACATTGTTGACTTATATTCAATTTGTGATTCACTATAACCCCCAGATCCTTTTCAATAGTATTACCACCTACCCAGTTATTGCCTATTTTCTAGTTTTGCATTTGATTTTGCCTTCCTAAGTGAAGAAATTTGCACTTGTCTTTATTGAATGTTATCTTGTTGAATTCAGAGCAATTCCCCAATATTTCAAGATCATTTTGAATTCTAATCCTGTCCTCCAAAGTGCTTGCAACCCTTCCCAGCTTGGTGTCATCTGCAAATTTTATAAGCTTACTCTTCTCCACTTCATTATCCAAGTCATTAATGAAAATATTGAATAGTACTTGACTCAGGACAGACCCCTGTGGGACCCCCACTAGATATGCCTTCCCAGTTTGACAGCAAACATCAATATGTTGATAAATACTTTTTGAGTATGATTTTTCAACCAGTTGTGCACACAACTTGTAGTTATTTCATCTAGACCACATTTCTCTAGTTTGCTTAGGAGAATGTCATGTGGGACTGTGTCAAAAGCCTTACTAAAATCAATATCTACCTGGTCTACTGTTTCCCCCTATCCACTAGGCCAGTAACCCTGTCAAAGAAGGTTGGTTTGGCATGATTTGTTCTAGATAAATTTATGATGGCTATTCCTTCTAACCACATTATCTTTTAGGTGCTTATAAATTGATTGTTTAATAATTTGTGCAAGTATCTTTCCAGGTATTGAAGGTAGGCCAACTGCTCTATAATTTTCCAGGTCCTCTTAGTTCTGCTTTTTAAAGACAGGTACTATGTTTGCCCTTCTCCAGTCCTGTGGAACCTCACCCATCTTCCATGAGTTCTCGGAGATAACGGCTAATGGGACTGAGATTGCTTCAGCTAGTTCCTGAGGTACTCTAGGATGAATTTCATCAGGCACTGCCCGGTGGAATCCATCTAATTTATCTAAATTTCCTTTAACCTGTTGTTTCCCTATTTTGGCTTGCAATCCTTCCTCCTTGTTGTTAATATTAACTGTGTTGAATATCTAATCACCACTAACTTTTTCATTGAAGACTGAAGTAAAATAGACATTAAACACTTCAGCCTGCTTGATATCATCAGTTATTAGATCTTCTTCCCCACTAAATAGAAGACCTACACTTTCCTCCGTCTTTCTTTTACTCCTGATGTATTTAAAGAACCTCTTCATACTGCCTTTTACAGTATGTCCATTGCTAGGTGTAACTCATTTTGTGCTTTACCCTTTTTGATTTTGTTCCCTACTTGCTTATGCTACGCTTTTGTAATCCTCCTTAGCAATTTGTCCGTGTTTCCACTTTTTGTAGGATTCCTTTTTGATTTTCATGTCATTAAAGAGCTCCTGATGGAATCATATTGGCTCCTTACTATTCTTCCTATCTTTCCTTCACACTGAGATAGTTTGCATTTGTGCCTTTAATACTGTCTCCGTGAGAAACTGCCAGCTCTCCTGAAGTCCTTTTTCCCTTAAATTTTATTCCCATGAGACCTTACCTACCAATGTTCTAAGTTTGTTAAAGTCTGCTTTTTTGAAGTCTGTTGTCCTTATTCCCCTGATCTCACTCCTTCCTTTCCTTGGAATCATTAAATCAATCATTTCATTATCACGTTCACCCAAATTGCCCTCCACCTTCAGATTCACTACCAATTCCTCCTTGATCAGAATCAAGTCTAAAATGGCTGTCCCACAGGTTACTTCCTCCACTTTCCGAAACAAGAAGTTGACCCAGTATATTCCAATAATTTATTGGCAGTGTTGTGTTTTGCTGTGTTACTTTTTTAGCTGATGTCTGGGTAAAGTCCCCATTACTACCAGCTCTTGTGTTCTGGATATTTGTTGTTTGTTCTAGAAATGCCTCATCTACCTCTTCTTCCTGATTTGGTGGTCTATAGCAAGCCTCTACAATGATGTTATCCCTATTTCCACCCCCCCCCCTTTTATTTTTACCCAAAGACTTTCAGGTGGTCTGCCTTCTTGATGTATAATGCAACACCACCTTCTCTTTCCCCCTGCACATCCTCACTGAATGAGCTGTCCCCCACTATACCATTATTCCAGTCATGAGACTTATCCCACAAAGCCTCTGTGATGCCAATTAAATCATAATTTAGCTTATATATGAATACGTTCCACTATGTCCACACTACTATTTTTAGTATGCTATCTTGAGCTGAGCTAGTTCAAGTCTGTGTACCCAGCCTGGGACTCTCACCTCCCAGCTGCAGTGTAGACATATCCTACAAGAATTTAAGCCCTGCTGAAGAAAACTATGAGTAAGTGAAAATGGAATTATTACTGAAAAACTTTTGCATCCTTAATTGTACCATTAGTTAAAAAGTTATTTACATTAATATTACTTTTACTGATGTTTTCTTTACATTTCAGTTCATTGATGATTTATAAATGACTACAGAAAATAGGAACCACAGTTTAATCCAAAGATATCCTACAATAGCCTAAAAATCAACGTTAGTAATATATTAAGTCTTAAATGCAACAACACAACTAAATGGTTCAGAGTGAAGTTTAATGGAGGGATGATAAGAAAGTAGGACATGCCCTGAAAAAGGGCAAATATAGTGCCCATCTATAAAAAGGGTAATAAGGACAAACCGGGGAATTACAGACAAGTCAGCTTAACTTCTGTACCTGGAAAGATAATGGAGCAAATAATTAAGCAATCAATTTGCAAACACCTAGAAGATAATAAGGTGTTAAATAACCGTCAGCATGGATTTGTCAAGAACAAATCATGTCAAACAAACCTGATAGCTTTCTTTGACAGGGTAACAAGCCTTGTGGATGGGGGGAAGCAGTAGATGTGATATATCTTGACTTTAGTAAGGTTTTTGATACGGTCTCCCATGACCTTCTCATAAACAAACTAGGGAAATACAACCTAGATGGAGCTACTATAAGGTGGGTGCATAACTGGTTGGAAAATCATTCCCAGAGAGTAGTTATCAGTGGTTCACAGTCATGCTGGAAGGGCATAATGAGTGGGGTCCCACAGGGATCGGTTCTGGGTCCGGATCTGTTCAATATCTTCATAAATGATTTAGATAATAGAGCTGTTTCAGAGTAGCAGCCATGTTAGTCTGTATTCGCAAAAAGAAAAGGAGTACTAGTGGCACCTTAGAGACTAACAAATTTATTTGAGCATAAGCTTTCGTGAGCTACAGCTGCGATGAAGTAAGCTGTAGCTCACGAAAGCTTATGCTCAAATAAATTCGTTAGTCTCTAAGGTGCCACTAGTACTCCTTTTCTTTTTAGATAATAGAGAGTACACTTAAAGTTTGCAGACCATACCAAACTGGGAGGAGTTGCAAGTGCTTTGGAAGATGGGATTAAAATTCAAAATGATCTGGACAAACTGGAGAAATGGTCTGAAGTAAATAGGATGAAATTCAGTAAGGACAAATGAAAAGTACTCCACTTAGGAAGGAACAATTAGTTGCACACATACAAAATGGGAAATGACTGCCTAGGAAGGAGTACTGCGGAAAGGGATTTAGGGGTCATAGTGGATCACAAGCTAACTATGAGTCAACAGTGTGCCTTCCAGTTCTATGATTCTATATGTGAGGCACACAGTTTTAATAATACTTAACACATAATACTTAGATGCATACCACCGTAAGGAGAGCCATAGAAAACTCCAAAATATGTTATTTTGAGATATGTATGTTACATTCAGGTCTCATGCATATGGTGATATTTCTTTAGAAAAACAGAGAGAGAAACAAATGTTCCCTTTGTGTTTGCTCTTTTTGTCTACGCATTGTCATGTGGTAGGAATTATATTAAATTCTATGTTCCGTGCTACTTTTCCTCAAACATGGGAAATATGGTAATAGTTGTAAATAATGAAGCTTTAAGATTGGATTTTCAGAACTGCTGAGTACCCACAAACCTCACTGCAGTTAATGGGTGGGTGCTCCTCAACTTTGAAAAGCAGTCTGTTTTTTTTAAATAAATATGAAGAACCAAAATATACCTCTCTATAGAAATAACTGCAGAAGGGGCACTGGGGCTTGGAGCTGAGAGAGAGAAAGGTATTTGACCTTACAGAATTTTTTGCAATCTTTCCTGTCAAGAGAAAGGACCTTGGAGGCTTAAGATGACTAAGGTATGGAGGCAGGATGAGGACCCCCAGTTCTGGAGAGGGTTAGAGTCACTTGCTGCTATTCTCGACCTACCTGGTCCCTGATAGCATGGTTCTTGAAGGGTACATGTTACCATTACCCAGTTCCCCAGTGCCTACGCAAGACCCCTATTCAAGTAGCATTAACTCATACGCAGGTGAGTGAATATCTGCTGCCTCTGGAGGTGAGAATACTGTGTTCAGCTGACTCCATACAACCCCACTCATAATCTCTGCCACAGATTTCCTGCGTGACCTTGTCAAGTCACTTAGTTTCTCTGTGCCTCATTTCCCAAACTGAAGAATGGGGATAATAGTACTACCTTCCCTCACAAGGATGTTGTGAGGATAAATACATTAAAGATGGTGCGGTGTTCAGATACTATGATGATGTGTGTGCGGAGAGGGTGTATCACTAACTTAGCTAGATAGCAGGGGTTTTCAAAAGCTGCTCACATAGTAGTATCGGGCCAAATTCTGGAGTCTCCATGGATACATCTACATAGTCAATGGCTGGAAGCCTCCCAGTTTGGGTTGACAGGCTTGGGGTTGTGGGGCTAGTGCTACCAGCATGGGCTCTGACACCCACTCCTATCCTTAGGTTTCAGAGCCTAAGTGTGAGTGTGTCGACCAAGTCTGGGAGGCTTGCAACTGTGAGCTGTATAAATGTACTTCATGTGAACTTAATAGGAGTTTTAAGAACATAAGAACAGCCATACTGGGTCAGACCAAAGGTCCATCTAGCCCAGTATCCTATCTTCCAGGTGATTCAGAGGGAATGACCAGAACAGGTAATCATCAAGTGATCAACAGGTAATCAAGTTGTTTTGCCTGAATAAGGACTTCAGGACAGGGCCCTGAGGCAGTGGTCCCCAAACTTATGACATGCACCCCTCTTTAACTGTAATGTAATTATCTCCACTACTCCAATGGGAGCTGCAGCTGGAGCTGCGGCCTGGAGCCAGGCTGTGGTTGGGGCCGAAGTCAGGGCCTCGGCTGGGGCCAGAGTGGAGCTGGGTGGTGCTCCCTCCCTGCCCCATATGGGGCTGGCCCGGGCCGGGAGCTGCAGCCAGGAGCCAAACTGTGGATGGGAGCAGAAGCTGAGGCCTCGGCTGGGGCCGGAGTTGGAGCGTAGCTGGGAGCAGAGTAGGGCTGGGTGTGCTCCCTCCCTGCCCCCCATGGGGGCTGCCTGGGCCCTGCCTTGCCCCCTGTACATTCCTCCATGCTCCCCTAGGGGGGCATGCTCCACAGCTTGGGGACCACTGTTCTAAGGTGTTGTCTTTGTGGGGAAATAGCCTAGAATAGCTATTCTGTACTAGCTTACTACAATGTAGAATAAGTAGGGCCCTTCCAAATTCACAGTCCATTTTGGTCAATTTCACGGTCATGAAAAATTTTTTAAAAATCGTAAATTTCATGATTTCAGCTATTTAAATCTGAAATTTCACAGTCTTGTAATTGTAGGGGTCCTTACCGAAAAAAGAGTTGGGGGTGGTCACAAGATTATGGCAGTGGAGGTTGTGGTACTGCTACCCTTACTTCTGCACTGCAGCTGACGGTGGCGCTGCCTTCACACCTAGGCAGCTGGAGAGCAGTAGCTGCTGGTCAGGAGCCCAGCTCTGAAGGCAGAGCTGCTATCAGCAGCAGCACAGAAGTAAGGATGGCATGGTATGGTATTGCCACCCGTACTTCTGCAGTGTTGCTGGCAGAGCTGGACCCTCAGTCAGCAGCTGCCATCGTCCGGCCACCTAGCTCCGAAGGCAGCAGCGCACAAGTAAGGGTGGCATGGTATGATATTGTCACACTTACTCCTGTGCTGCTGCTGGTGGGGCGCTGCCTTCAGAGCTGGGCACCTGGCCAAGAGCCGCCACTCTCTGTCTGTCCAGCTTTGAAGGCAGTGCAGAAGTAAGGATGACAATACTGGGACCCCCTAAAATAACTTGTGACCCCCCTGCAACTCCCTCTTGGGTCAGGACCCCCAGTTTAAGAAATGCTGGTCTCCCATGTGAAATCTGTATAGTATATGGTAAAAGCACATAAAAGACCAGATTTCCCAGTGACACGTTTTTCATGGCTGTGATTTTGGTAGGGCCCTAAGAATAAATGTCCACATGGGGAGTTAGTATGGAATAGCTACTGCATTTTAAATTCACACTGTAGCTCAATGGTTCTAATCTCAACCTTTCCCGACCATTGTATCCCTTTCAAAAGTCTGAAGCCGGAGATCCACTGCCTGGGGCTGAATCATATAACTCAGCTTCACAGGCCTCCCTCCCTGGGGTGTGGGGTGCCAGGCAATTGCCTTACTTACAGCCCCCCTAAATCCATCCATCGACACCCCCCCAGGTTGAGAAACACTGATGTAGATAAGTAAAGACACACCCTGGAAGACTTCTGTGTATCCATAGGGGGTAAGCATATCCTTGGTTGAGAACCACTGCTCTAGCTTATTTTGCAATAATTTCCCTGTGTAGATAAACCCTTTCCACTTGTGGGCAGTTTATATTCTGAGTAGCATGTCTGTTAGATACTACGTAGCAAACACACAGGACCTCGCCGCCTTTTCCTTTTCAGATCACTGTACTGTAGCTTTCCTCCCCATCATGAAGAAGCATTAAAGAAGGCAAGGCAGGAACTTCTGCTCCCCTGCCATGCCAGTGATACGTAGTGGCGGCCGGCGGGCATATATAACATGCGCCCTCCCCCGCGGCGACAGTGGCAGTGATACTGAGTAGCACCGAGAATTTGTCAGACCCTGGCCACTGTAGTGACTTACATACGGTGTAGTAGCAGAGCCAGCGAGGCTGTGCAGCAATCTGTATGACGCCGTGTCCCAGCACTTACTTTTACACTGGGCGGCACCTAGCATTCCTGCTCCAAGCGTAACCACGGGGCACCGTGAGCACAGCGCCCCACATGGATAAAAAGCAGGGTGGTCACGGCGTGGAGTGGCTAACACGCGGGCAGCTGGGTGGGAACGGCTTCGGCGGGAGGCAGCTGTGCTGGGCATGTTCTGAGGGAAGGGAAGGCAAGAGAAGGGAGCTAGCCAGGGCCTCAGGTGGGAAGGCGGGAGAAGAAGGTAGGGGCCAGGCGGGCGGCGGGAGAAGGGGGCTCGGCAGGGCCTGAGGTGGGAAGGGGACTGGAGGCTAGGCGGGCGCGGGAGAAGGGCGCTGGGCACGGCCTGAGGTGGGAAGGCGGGAGAAGGGGGGAAGGGCTAGGCCGGAGAAGGGGGCTGGGCATGGCCTGAGGTGGGAAGGCGGGAGAAGGGGGCTGGGGGCTAGGCGGGCGGCGGAAGAAGGGGGCTGGGCATGGCCTGAGGTGGGAAGGCGGGAGAAGGGGGCTGGGGCTGGGCACGGGCTAGGTGGGCCGTGGGCTAGGCGGGCGGCGGGAGAAGGGGGTTGGGCACGGCCTTAGGTGGGAAGGCGGGAGAAGGGGGTTGGGCACGGCCTGAAGTGGGAAGGCGGGAAAAGGGGCTGGACACGGCCTGAGGGGAGGAGATACAGCTCGCGGAAAGGCCCAAGGCAGGATGCCAAAAAGAAGTTGGAGGAGGGGCGGGGCGGGGCTGTGTGCCAGCGTTGCCGGTCTCCATGGTAACTGATAGGACGCTGCGTGTCTTCCCCTCCCGCCGGTAAAAGACACAGGGCGCAAGCGCGGCGCAGTCGTCATAGCGGAGGGGGTGCAGCTCGGTGCAGAGAGGGTTGGGATGGCGCATTACAAGGTGCGGGACTGCGATTTCTTCCCGGAACCCACCACCCTCTCTTGTTCCCTTTCCCCACATCGGGGAGTCTCGGTATCCCGCCGGCTGCCTCTGCGCCCTTCAGACAGGCCCGGCGAAGGCGGCTCGCCGACCCCGGACCGCCCTGCCCCGCGCTAACGTTGTTCCCATCCTTCCCTCAGGCCGCGGACTCTAAGCGAGAGCAGTTCCGCCGCTACCTGGAGAAATCCGGGGTGCTGGACACGCTCACCAAAGGTAAATAACCCGAGCCGCTGCCCCCAGCGCGCGGGAAGGGAAATGTCGCCCCTGCCCCGCGCGGGGGGCGAAGGTCCGTGTTCTCTTGCCCTTGTGCCCACGCCAGGTGGTTGCAGGGCCCTTTCTCTAGCAGCTGCTGTCCCCCGACCCTCGCCGGCCAGGAGTGGCAGGTGGCCAGCAGCCGTTGTTGGAAATCCTGTGGGTCAAGACTTAAGATACTTGAGGCCTTATTTTGTCAGAGTACTTAATATTTCTGTAGCACTTTATATGTTCAAAGCAGAGTTCCACTTGATTTCAGTTGTAGTGTTGAGCACACCCTACTTCTGCAATTCTGACCCCTTGGCTCCTGATCCCTGGTACTCACTCCACACAGTGGGCACCTGTGAATTTTGGTTTAAGTGGCTTGTTCAGCATTGCAGAAGCAGGGATAAAATGCAGTTCTTCAGGGGGGCATTCAAGGTCTGTAACCAGGAGATTATCCTTTTTCTCCCTGTAATTCTCTGCTTTATTTGCTACACAACATCCAGCCTCTACAACAAAGGAGGCAGAGTTCTTTTTAGACAAAAGCCTCATTCACTACACAGTTCGGTTTGATTTCTGGTGCACTGAATGAGGCAGAAGTCCTGTAGGAGGGGAAAAGTATGTGATCATGTAACTAAAGAGTGTCATGCACATGCAAAAAAGGGGCACAAGCAGCCTTAATCCTGACACTTCTGCAACTTGAGACCATTACTCCTCATTCTGTCATCTGCTACCACTGAGAACAGTCTAGAGCCATCCTCTTTGGAACCCCGTTTCAGGTAGTTGAAAGCAGCTATCAAATCCCCCCTCATTCTTCTCTTTCACAGACTAAACAATCCCAGTTCCATCAGCCTCTCCTCATAAGTCATGTGTTCCAGTCCCTTAATCATTTTTGTTGCCCTCCGCTGGAAGCTTTCCAATTTTTCCACATCCTTCTTGTAGTGTGGGGCCCAAAACTGGACACAGTACTCCAGATGAGGCCTCACCAATGTCGAATAGAGGGGAACGATCATGTCCCTCGATCTGCTGGCAATGCCCCTACTTATACATCCCAAAATGCCATTGGCCTTGGCAACAAGGGCACACTGTTGACTCGTATCCAGCTTCTCATCCACTGTAACCCCTAGGTCCTTTTCTGCAGAACTGCTGCCGAGCCATTTGGTCCCTAGTCTGTAGCGGTGCATGGGATTCTTCCGTCCTAAATGCAGGACTCTGCACTTGTCCTTGATGAACCTCATCAGATTTCTTTTGGCCCAATCCCTCTGTATCCTATCCCTACCCTCCAGCGTATCTACCTCTCCTCCCAGTTTAGTGTCATCTGCAAACTTGCTGAGGGTGCAATCCACGCCATCCTCCAGATCATTAATGAAGATATTGAACAAAACTGGCCCCAGGACCGACCCTTGGGGCACTCTGCTTGATACTGGCTTCCAACTAGACATGGAGCCATTGATCACAATCCGTTGAGCCTGACAATCTAGCCAGCTTTCTATCCACTTCATAGTCCATTCATCCAGCTCATACTACTTTAACTTGCTGGCAAGAATACTGTGGGAGACTGTGTCAAAAATTTTGCTAAAGTCAAGGAATAACATGTCTGCTGCTTTCCCCTCATCCACAGAGCCAGTTATCTCGTCCTAGAAGGCAATTAGATTAGTCAGGCATGACTTGCCCTTGGTGAATCCATGCTGACTGTTCCTGATCCCATTCCTCTCCTCTAAATGCTTCAGAATTGATTCCTTGAGGACCTGCTCCATGATTTTTCCAGGGACTGAGGTGAGGACTTATCATGTCCCCTCTCGGTCTTCTCTTTTCTGGACTAAACAAACTCAATTTTTTTCAATCTTCCCTCATAGTTCATGTTTGCTAGACCTTTAATCATTTTTGTCAGTCTTCTCTGGATTCTCTCCAATTTGTTCACATCCTTCCTGAAATGTGGCGCCCAGAATTTGACACTCCAGTTGAGGCCTAATCAGTGCAGAGTAGAGTGGAAGAATTACTACTTGTGTCTTGCTTACAACACTCCTGCTAATACATTCCAAAATGATGTTCAGGTGTTTTTTTGTTTTTTTTTGCAACAATGTTACACTGTTGACCATTTAGCTTGTGATCCACTATGACCCCTAGATCCCTTTCCGCAGTACTCTTTCCTAGGCAGTCATTTCCCATTTTGTATGTGTGCAACTGATTGTTCTGTTTCTTCCTAAGTGGAGTACTTCTCATTTGTCTTTATTGAATTTCATCCTATTTACTTCAGACCATTTCTCCAGTTTGTCCAGATCATTTTGAATTTTAATCCTATCCAAAGCACTTGCAACCTCTCCCAGCTTGGTATTGTCTACAGACTTTCTAAATGTACTGTCTATGCCATTATCTAAATCAGTGGTCACCAACCCATCGATCGCGATTGACTCGTCAATCCTGGAGCCTCTGCTACTCGATCACCATCCCTGGGCCACTAAAAGTCACCTCCGATCCTGACTGAATGGCCCCGAATCCCTCCGAGCTCACCCTAGTGCTGCTCCAGGTGAATCAGTCAAGGAGCCAAGTTCAATCTTGCACAGTGGGACTCAGGCAGGCTGTGTGCCTGCCTGCCGTGGCCCCATGCCACTCCTGGAAGCAGCTGGCTGCTGGCATGTCTCTGTGGCCTCTGGGGTGCGGGTGTCTGTGCGCTGCCTGCCCCCGCAGCCACTGCGGCCCCCCCCCCGGCCTGGGGCTGTACAGATGTGCCAGCAGCTAGCTGCTTCTGGGAGCAGTATGGGGCCATGACAGGCAGGCCCCGCTGTGCTGCCGACTGGGAGCCGCCTGTGCTAAGCGTCTCCCAGCTGGAGCCTACACCTCGCACCCCCTCCTGTATCCCCAACCCCCTGCCCCAGTCTGGAGCCCCCTCCTGCACCAAACTCCCTCCCAGAGCTTGAACCCCACATTCTTGCACCCTTGCCCCAGACTCAACCAATGCACACCCCACAGTTGAGAATGTTACTGATTTGTGATACTGTCTGAAGGATTTTGGATCTATAACCACAAATGACACTAATAAAAGGTACAACTCCTAAAATGTCCAGTGGAGTCTGAGTTTAGGTACATTGTGACCATATGACCCCTGCACCCAAACTCCTTCCCAGAGCTTGCACCCCTCACTCCTGCACCTCTGCCCCAAGCTCAGCCCAGAGCCCCCTCCCACACTCTGAACCGCTCAGCCCAGAGCCTGCACCCCCTCCTGCACCCCAACCCCCTGCTCCAGCCTGGTGAAAGTGAGTGAGGGTGAGCAAGTGATGGAGGGAGGGGGGAATGGAGTGAACAGGGTGGGGCCTTGGGGAAGGGGCAGGGTAGATCCTGGGTTGATCTTAAATTCGAAAAGTGATCTTGTGCGTAAAAATGTTGGAGGTCCATCTAGGTTGTATTTCCCTAGTTTGTTTATGAGAAGGTCATATGAGACCATATCAAAAGCTTTACTAAATTCAAAATATACCACTTATGCTGCTGCTTCCCCCTCTATACACAAGGCTTGTTACCCTGTTAAATCAAGTTATCAGGTTGGTTTGACCTAATTTTTTTTTTGACAAATCCATGTTGACTGTCACTGATGACCTTATTATCTTCTAGATGTTTTCAGATGGATTGCTTAATTATTTTATATAGTCATGTTGCCTGGGTGTAGCAAGTGCAGAATAGAGAGCACAGGAGAGAGTCCACATAAGGCCCCCCCGCAACTAGGAGGAGCAATTGCAATTACAGGTGAAGCAGGCTCAGAGCAGACTGAATTTTGGAGAAATTTAGCCAACAAGTGTAACACACCTCTGCTGAGCAATTTCTTGGTTCTCTGTAATTTGGGCAGACTTGTAATGTGGATGGCAAAAGACATACTCCTGACACCAAGGCCATCCATGCGCGACACACAGAGGCACTAGAGATTCTTAGTCAAATGACTGTAAGAATTTTTAACATGGGCAAAACAACTTTTTTGCCTTAATCTCATTCTTGGAAACAGCTGAACTGTTGGGTACAACTTTCCAAAAATTTCGGCATGAGGCATGCACATGGCATGTAAGTAAAATTTCAGTCCAATGGTCCATAAAGTTAAAAGTAACTATAAACAAAAGGAGTACTTGTGGCACCTTAGAGACTAACCAATTTATTTGAGCATAAGCTTTCGTGAGCTAAAGCTCACTTCATCGGATGCTGTAGCTCACGAAAGCTTATGCTCAAATAAATTGGTTAGTCTCTAAGGTGCCACAAGTACTCCTTTTCTTTTTGCGAATACAGACTAACACGGCTGCTACTCTGAAACCTGTAACTACAAACAGGGGGTCTCAGTGGAAAGTATTAAGCAACCTTACCCACAGGTCTAATTACCAGTGCTGGCTATAATCTGTGTTGTGAAAGTACCCAAATCCCCATATCTGGATTGGGGTGCCACTGGGTTAAATATTGAACAAACACAGAAAATCTGACAACTTCAGTAGAAATTCTGTGTTGGTTTTTATTCTGCCCTCATCAAAGGTCCCTATGTGTATAGCTCACAATCTAAGAAAGTCAAGCAAAATATATATAGCACTCAAGAGAAATATTTAATTCTCTCTGTACTTTTTAGTTTTGTAATTGCATAAATATCCACTTCCTCAGTCTATAAATCATGCATGGGTTTGTTTTGTTTGGGGGGTTTTTTTTGTATCTGTAATGGCAAATTTAGTCCTGATGCTTCTCCCCTCTCATTTTTGTCATAAGTGCCTAGTGAAAAAGACTATGCAAATATAGTGGTGCATAGCAAAAGTCTGTCAGAGAGAAAATAGGCATTATGCAAATGAAAACGTATCACAAAATGTTACATGTGCATACTTAAGCTTGTAGAAAAAATACGGTATCTTGAGTTTCAGGAATACTCTGTTGTGTAATTAAAGACTGCATCATAATACGTTTTCACAAGCAGACAGTCAAGGTTGCAAGTTAAACCGTGCAACCTTAACATTCTTGTTCTTTTTGAATGGGATATATACACTAATTCAAAGCGTATTATATAAAGTGTTCTCATAGCTTTCCATTCTTTAATACCATATTAGAAACAAAAAAATTAACATTTGTTTTATCTATTTCTAGTTAGCTTATATTTTCTCCTTGAATGAAAATGAAAGCAAGTAATCTCTGTTTAATTGCTTTATGAAGTGCTGCCATAGCTTTTAGGTCAAAACTATTCTGTAAAATGGAGCAGTTGGACACTCAATACTGGTATCTCACTTTGGTAGGTATATTCTACCATTTGTACCAAGTTTCAGATTATAGTGAATGTTTTGGAATGGAGCTAAATTGCACATACATTCCGTCGTTTCGTTTAAGAAACGTGGTATGAGTGCAGATCAGCTTACTTTTACTCACTTCCATGGTGAATACATATTTAGAGTGTGGAGGACACTTCACTCCACATGCAGTTTTTTTTTTAATGTGAAGTCAGTCTTTTTGCCACTTTTAGGTAAATCGGTGTGCTCCATGTGGTGGCTCTAAAGCTGCTGTTGTTCACTAACAAACTAGTCTAAAATTATGTAGCTACTCTTCAGTTAACTGATAGTGAACTCTACTAGCTAATACAGTTGTCCTGGAAGGGAAGTTTTGGAGTCCAAAATTACATGAACAAGTGTTGGGACTGTCCAGGCTAGCAAGTTAAGATGTGTTGGCTTACTTGACAATACATTAACTTGGTACCTATGACAGTGATATTCTGGTCTGTGACTGGGAATAATTTAAAAACAAAAAAACCAAGTGTGGACATACTGACCGTGATAAATGGTATTCATTTTGGCTTCATTCCAAGTCCAGAAATCTAAGTATGAATTAATCAACAGGAGAACTGATGGCTCAGGCTCTTTTGAGGATTCAGTCGTCAAAGTGTTGAACAGTGAATACTTCAGAAGTTCGTGCCTGGTGGCTGTCTTTGGTGCACATCTGTGTTAACTCAAAATATTAGTTATTGAGTACCATACTCAATGTAAGACTCTGAGTGCCCCTGGAGATGAGAACAACCTATAGATGGGTGATGGAGGAGCCAAGTGTGCGACTGTAAGAGTGCAACTGCATTCTTGAGACACCATTTAGGATTCTTGCTTCCACTTTAGAAGCAAAGCAGCAGGTGGTTGCGATTTGTTAGTTCCCCCTGATCCCCCAGTAAAGGAGGCCTGGTGATGGAGGAGAATATTGAGTTTTTCAAACTTAGTAAAGAAGATTCTGTCCTTGGCTACACTAGAGGGCTTAGTAAGGTCTCTAGTGTAGCTGCTCTAAGATGATGGGAGAGAGGTCTCCTGTTGGCTTAATTACTGCAGCCCTCAGAAGTGGTGGTAGTTATGTCAGTAGGAGAAGCTCTCTGGCCAACAGAGTGCTGTCCACACCAGCACATAAATTGGCATAAGTTATGTTGCTCGGGGGTGGCTAATTCACTCCCTGAGCAACATAATTTATGTTGATTTTAAGCTTTAGTGTAGATTACTTTTGATTACCTTTATTATAAGTGACAGATATGATAGTAGGCAACTACTTTACTGGTAGAGAATGTATATATCCTGGAACTATTATTAAATAGGTATGTATTTGATCAGTTTATAGAAAAATATAACTGCTTGAAAGTTACTTGTAATGTTTGTGTTTATGTAAGTGCAGAATTTAGTGCAAACATTTAGCTTTACAGTTCATTAAAGAATTGTTGAAAAAAAGCGTATTCAAAAGAATTCCAGCTGTATAACTGTAGTCAAAGCTTATGTTGGATGCACAGGAGTCTCTCAGTAATACTCGGCATAATCACGAATACGTGTTCATTGTCCTAATTTTTGACTATAATAAAAGTTAACTTTGTGTGTGAATGTTTAAATTAGTGAAACATCACCTTTAGAATACTAATCTGGAAGTAATCCTTTTTAAGTCTCATATGTATTACCTTTGACTACTGGTGCACATTTCAGAAATTGAACCATTTGAGGTGTTTTCTGCTTTTAACTGTTGGATGCTTTTTATTTACAGTGTTGGTAGCCCTATATGAAGAGCCAGAGAAACCAAATAGTGCACTGGAGTATCCTTTTTCTTCCTTCTGTGAATTGATTTCAGACACATGTGAGGCAAAAGATGGAAGCATAGTCCAAGGCAGATACTCGTTTGTCTCCATATTATATAAAGTAAACAAAATATTTTATTTCCATATTAAATAAGAACAGCAGCAATTTTGGGGAAATGGCACTCAGTCAACCAAGTACAATAGAGAACTGGAAATTTAGCTCTTGCATGATACAAGTCCTTACTACCAACAGCCTGAGGCTTTTGGCTTATCTAACCCAGTATCTTGGTTGGTTGGTTTTTTTGGCAGTGGCTTGTGTTTTTAATAGACTTTTGCCTTCCTTTTGGTATTAAACATTTTCTATAAGGCTATTTGCATAGGAATGCCTTCCTTTTATTTGCAGGTGTACTGCTTAGTTTGGAACAGTGTATTTTGCATAACTGCTGTTTATTACTGACAACTATCTAGTTCTTCTTAATCTTGCTGGGCTTCCTCTTTGACCTCTGCCTCAGTGAATTATGAGGGCTTACTACACAAGTGTTTACTGTCAAATTTTCTGCCTTACAGTTTAGTATTCCCTTGTTCTTATGTTGTGGGAGAGGGTAAAAGGAACATCTTTCAGCTTTTACTTTATACTATTTTGTAACAGTGCCCTTCTCAATCTTCTTTACAAGCTAAGTAAACCTTGCTGTTCTCCTTCATTGTGTTTTAAAGGCCTGCAGACAGCCATGTTGCCATCTTCTTTAAAACAATTCTGTTTGGCTTTTTTCTTAACTGACATATCTGGTGTATCCTGTCAGTCTGCCCTTATGTCTTGCTCTACCAGCGTTGTAGTTTATTCAGATTCAGGCTATCATTTTTAAGTGAAGAAACACTTAACTTTTATTAGCTTTCTGAAGCATCATATAGGAGCTGCAGCTCCAGAAAATCCAGAAGTAGAGGCCCTTCGCCTGGAAGTGGCAGAGATGAAAGAAAAATATGAAGCTGTGTTGGAAGAAAACAAAAAACTAAAAGCAAAGGTAAATATTTGAGTCTCCATTGCTGTATCTTCTTAAAATGTAAAAGAAAAATACAGTGGTATTAGCAAAAAGAAAAAGAGTACTTGTGGCACCTTAGAGACTTAAATTTTTTGAGCATAAGCTTTTGTGAGCTACAGCTCACTTCATTGGATGCATTCAGTGGAAAAAAAATCACTGGTATTCGTTACTGTATCAGTAGTCAACATTCATCAGTGATAATGCAGTGTCACTTTGTGCAAGTCTCAGAACAAGGGGAAAGCCTGATAGGCTCTTGGTGGGGGGGCCACTCATTTGAAAAGAACACTTTTCGTGTTTTAATATGACTAACCACTCAGTTTCTTTTTCTTAACTTTCTTTAAAAGCCATGGGAAACCATTACAAGTACCAAATTCAAGTAAAATTGAGTGGAAACTATAGAATTAACTTCTTAAAAAATGGTGTAAAAATCAATCTAGATGATACTTCCCAAACAGATTACAACATTTTAAAGATGCTAACTGAAAAAGCTTCTTACAGAAAATAAATTCAAGGTGGAAGAGTCCTATTAGGTCAATGGGATCAACACCTTGCAAGATCTGACCCACTGGAGGCATTTATGTGTATGCAAAATAAAACATTTAACTCTAGTTTAAAATACCTCTAGTTCTCTGACTCTGAAAACCTTCTGAATGGATCCTGAGTGTAAACTAAGGCAGAGTCATTGTTTTGGGTATACAGACTGCCTGCACCTCTCAGCTATCTAAGTAGGGTATCTGTTCTTAAACCAAATTATATTTGAGACAGATTTTTCAAATAATTCATTGTACAGTTACCATAGTTATACAGATCCATAACTACACATGCAAATAGCCACATAAAAGAGGGGCAGAAACAGTGCTGGTCCTGAAAGTGTGTGACATACTTTTTCCCATGCAGTGACGCTGTTTTCTACACTAACTTTACTTACCAAATGACTAGTTACTACATACTATGTTTTACCTTCTACAGCTTTTGATCATGCAAGCTTTTTTGCATGGATTATGGGACTGCCCACAAAGAAGCCTGAAGCCTGCAAGCTGCTATCTTAGTACACACCATATATTATCAGTGGTAGTTCCACGATAGAACAAAGGCACTATTTGTCCATTAATTGGTCCAGAAAACACCTACTTAACAATAAACTCATTGGTCAGATTTAATGATCTCTCCGTTAAATTTGCTGTCAAGACATATATGCATAAGAATGGCCACGCTAGGTCAGGCCAGTGGTCCATCTAGCCCAGTATCTTGTCTTCTGACAGTGGCCAATGCCAGATGCCTCAAAGGAAATGAACAGAGAAATTATCAAATGACCCATACCCTGTTGTCCAGTCCCAGCATCAGGCAGTTGGGGGCTTAGGGACATCCAGAGCATGGGGTTACATCCCTGACCATTGGCTAATAGCCATTGATGGACCTATTCTCCATCAACTTATTGAATTCTTTTTTTAACCTAGTTGTACTTTTGGCCTTCACAACATCCCGTGGCAACAAGTTCCACAGGTTGACTGTGTTTTGTATGAAGAAGTACTTCCTTTGGTTTGTTTTAAATCTCTTGCCTATTAGTTTCATCAGGTGACCCCTGGTTCTTATGTTATGTGAAGGGGTAAATAATACTTCTCAATTCACTTTCTCCACACCATTCATGATTTTATAGACCTCTATCATATCCCCCCTTAGTTGTCTCTTTTCCAAGCTGAACAATCCCAGTCGTCTTAATCTCTCTTCATATGAAAGCTGTCCCATACCCTTAACCATTTTTGTTGCTTTTTCTATTTTTTTCTTGTATCTTCTTTGAGATAGGGCAACTAGAACTGTAACAGTATTCAAGGTCTGGGTGTACCATGGATTTATATAGTGGTGGTATGATATTTTCTGTCTTATTTTTCTCTTTTCTAATGGTTCCTAGTATTCTGTTAGGGTTTTTTGTTTTTGTGTCTTTTTTTTTTTTTTTTTACTGCTGCTGCACATTGAGTGATATTTTCAGAGACCTATCCACAATAACTGGAGGATCTTTCTCGAGTGGCAGCTAATTTGGACCCCATGGTTTTGTATGTATAGTTGGGATTATGTTTTCCAGTGTGCATTACTTTGTATTTATCAACTTTGAATGTCATGTGCCATTTTGTTGCCCACTCACCCAGTTTTGTGAGAGGCCTTTGTAACTCTTCACAGTTGACTTTGGACTTAACTATCGTGACTAATTTTGTATCACGCAAATGTTGCTGCCTCACTGTTTACTCCTTTTTCCAAATCATTGATGAATATGTTGAACAGCACTGGTCCCAGGACTCATCAGGGGAGGGGAGGGGAGGAGGATGCCACTATTTACCTCTCTCCATTCTGAAAACTAGCCATTTATTCCTGCTCTTAGTTATCTGTCTTTTAACCAGTTGCTGATCCATGAGAGGACCTTTCCTCTTATCCCATGACTGCGTAGTTTGCTTAAGAGCCTTTGGTAAGGGACCAGGTCAGAGGCTTTCTGAAAGTTCAAGTACATTATATCCACTTGATCACTCTTGTCCACATTTGTTTTACAGTAAAAAGGCTATAAGTATTTGACTTGAACATTCTGCTGAGTCAAGCTGCCATGCTTATCTAAATGGTCCTGGCTTGGGTTAAAATGGGAGTGCTTCCTTGAGGGGAAAAAATTAGATGGGTTGTAGGAGGAGCATGGATGTAGTTTATTGCAGCTGGCAGGCATTTTTTTGGTCTCAGATGGCTTAAAATGAGAGTAATCTGACTTTAGCAGAAGGGGGACTTTCCTATGAAAGTGGTCTAAGAGATCTGATAAACTCATTTGGTAATGAGGGCTGAATTATACCTTAGTGTGTGGGCTAGTTACAAAGTTTTGGGCCATATGCCACAACTCTGTGAAAAGGTGCAAGAGGCTGCCCTCGGCAGTAACCAAGTTTGTTGGGGAAATCAGGAATGATTCAGAGTGCCATTAGGACCAACAATTTTTCTGCTCTCATTTCCTTGTATCTCTCCTCCCTCTGTATCTCTGAAATTTTTCTCCTTATTGATTAGTACTTTCCCTTCTCCCCTCCCATCTGCTTTTTATGCACTTTACCTCTTTTGTTCCATCTGTCTTTTTTTGTCCTGCACAGTCACCCATTCCCCTGGATCTTTGAGTTTTGTTGGGTTTCTGAATGGCAGCAGAACAACTTTACATGAGAGGATTGTGGAGCAAAATCATGTTCTAATCAGTTTCTTTCATTAGTCTTTTAGCATGCAGAGCATTAAAGAGGAAACATTTATTTTCCCTTTCCATTAAGTACTGTAGCGAGTTTAAGTAACTAGCAAGTTTCCCTTTTCAGTTGGGTGCCTGTGTAAAGACCTCTGTGCACAGGGGAAAACCTGCTAATCTGAAGAAAGTACATGTAATTAACTGAAAAGCAAAACTTGACTAAGATCCACTCATACAGTCCAGAAGTTTTATTTTGTAGCTAGCTTGGTATGCAAAAGACATGGAGCACTGTTTCAGCAGCTGTTGCTGGCAGCACACTGTGATAAGTTTAATCCAACATTATTTGTAAATGCCAGATGAATATTTCGATCAGACTTGGAATTTCTAACCCATAAATGAGAAACATTTTAAATGCAAAATTTAAAACTGAATGGCAGATTCCAGATATTCTAATATTTACTTTCATAACCTTCCCTATGTCTGGGATTCTTTTCAAAGGGTCTGGTGAAATCTACTTCGTCTTCAGCTACCTAATTTTTATACCTATGCATCTATAACTGTAGAATTCAGTGTGTATTTTAAGTGGCCAAATTATCACTAAATCAGTGTGAAGTTTTGATCTAAGGTTCTGATGGTAGGTTTGTCCTCTATTTTAAACTTGGAATAGTCTCATGAATAGCTAATCCCAATTCTAGTGGTGGCAGTCAGACTATTTTACTCCAGCATATTTCAGTACAGCATACAAGAATGTAGGACGCTCATTCTGCCCAAAACTAACTCAAGATGGCCAGTATTGGGCAATCACAATGTAAAACCCTCTCTTCTTTAAAGTAAGAAATTAAATATTTGTCAGTGGGAAAAACTGTCAAAAGCATTTAATAGATCTTGTGTGCTGAAATTTCCTGACTCTATAAGTCACTTAAGAACTTTTGAAAATCGTGCCGTGCACCTTTAAAAGCCTCTCTCTCTCATAGCTGCATCTTTGCACAATGCATTGTTCCCTCCCTTCTCCCGCACCCCCACAGAAAAAAGGTTTACCAGGCATGTTTGTAGTCTTTGAAAATAAGGGGACCTAAGTATTCAGTAGCAAATTAGATTTTGTAGAATAAAGCTTGCTATAAAACAACTACTCCTCTCTCCTGTTGGGGGTAAAATATGCCATCAGGGCTTTTTTAACATTCTACAGCTAACAAAATCACACTTTTTTTTTTTTTTTTTTAAATTCTACAGCTGTCTCAGTATGAACCACCTCCAGAAGAGAAGCGTGGTGAATAGGAATGCTTTCACCTTTTGGATACTTACCTGAATAAAGGGCTTCATCAGAAGTTTACTGTCTTGACTTTTTTTGGATATAAATATCTTGAAACATTTCATGCAATATGTTGGCAATCATCTTACAACTACATGAATTGCCTAGGGAAGTTGTGGAATCTCCATCCTTGGAGATTTTTAAGAGCAGGTTAGACAAACTCCTCTCAAGGATGGCCTAGATCAGTGGTCTCCAACTTTTTTTTATGCCCAAGATCACTTTTTGAATCTAAGGGCAGCCCAGGATCTGCCCTGCCCATTCCCCAAAGCCCTGCCCCAATCACTCCATTCCCTCCTCCTCTTGGTTGTTCACTCTCCCCCACCCTCACTCACTTTCACCAGGCTAGGGTTGGGGTTCAGGAGGAGGTGTGGGCTCTGGGCTGGGGCTGAGGGGTTTGCAGTGTGGGAGGGGGCTCTGGGCTGAGCATGGGGCAGAGTGTTTGGGGTGCAGAAGGGGGTGTAGGCTCTGGGAGGGCATTTGGGTGCAGGAGGGGTCTCCAGGCTGGGGCAGAGTGTTGGGATACAGGAAGGGGTACATGGTGCTGGCTCTAGGAGGGGGATCAGGGCTGGGGCAAGAGATTGGGGTGCAGAGGGGGCATGGGGTGCTGGCTCCGGAAGGGGCTCAGGGCTGGGGGTTGAGGTGCAGCTTCTCGTGGGTCAGCACTTGCCTCCGGTGGCTTTTGATCTGTGGCAGGTGCAGCAAGGCTAAGTCAGACTCCCTGCCTACCCCAGCTCCACAGGGCTCCTGGAAGGGGCCAATGTGCCCCTGGGAGTGGGGGGCACGTGGCCCTGCAAGCTGCCCCTCTGTAAGCACTGCCCCTGCAGCCCTCCTGGCCAATGGGAGCTGCGGGGGTGGTGCTTACAGGCAGGAGCAGTGCGCAGAGGGAGACCCTTGTCCTCCCTGCTCACTCACGGGGCCGCACTGGCCACTTCTGGGAGCGGTGTGGGGCTGGGGTAGGGAGTCAGCCCCCCCAAGATGGTGATTGACTGGGAGATCCTCTAGGATCACTAGTCTAGATAATACTTGGTCTTGCTATGAGTGCAGGGGACTGGACTAGATGACCTCCCAAGGTCCCTTCCAGTCCTACAAATCTATGAAAAAAGGCCTTATGATTCTTAAGGTAATCTGCAAACATTTGTAGTGTTCTAAACCTAACTTTTTATAAGCTTTGGAAGGAGTTAACTCATGTGATGTGAATGTTATACCTTTCAGAACAGGCTAACAAGACTAATTTACAGTGAATAATTTCAGTAGCACTACTAAGACTAAATATTGTTTTTCATATTAGCTGTAGGGTGCATTCTATTCCTAGCTATTTACAAATGTGAGGATTGATTACATTGCACAGCAAAAACCCACTAGTGAAGATCTATAAATACAGGTTTAATGAAACTATACTCGCTAAGGGACAAGAAGTGAGGAATGGATGAAGTTTAAGGTGATAAATTCTGGCAGTCTCCAGGGCTACACCCTATTATAGGCCAGGATTGTCATCCCTTTACCACACCTACTATCACTTTTTTCTGGCTGACAAATTATTTAGGTTGGCTGTCTGTAAATCAGAGCTGTGATATTGCTGGTATTCACTGTAAGGTTGCCAACTTTGGATAAATTCCTGGAGATTTCATCACATGGCAATCTTTAATTAAACATTAATCTTTAAGTTAGGGAAACACCAGGACAATCTTAGAGGGTTGGCAACCCTAATTCACATACATAAAGTTAAGCTACTTCTACATTAATAGGGTGATTTTGCTCACTGTTCATGAGGTAGGTTGTGGAGGGAGCAGAGGTGTTCAGGTAGCAGGTCTCCTGGTATGGGGGATTGTCAGGTGGAGTACGGAAGGAGTGTTGTACCTTGTACCACTCTAGCTCCCCAAGTTGGCAGTTATCACAACCCTCCCATCCTTCCCTAGCAGCGCGAAGCAGTCTCGGGCTCCGCGCTTAGATTCCCCGCTCCTGCTGGTCCGGTAGGCCAGGCTCCGGGTTTTTGATGCACCCATCGCAGCCGTGAGGGGAACACACATCTGGCCCCGACCCAGGCACCGCCTCCTCCCTTGCAGGGACTGGTCCATCTCCGTGGGGCGTCCCCCCCCCGAGGAATGGAATCCCAGCTACATGGCCCCGCCCGACTCCCTCTGTCACGTGTAGCGGTATAATCAGGTGACTCATCACCTGATCCGAGTAAGCCTACCCTGCGGGGCCCAGCCAATCAAAACTCACGGTTGTCAGGTTAGGCCAATCGGCGCGGAGGCATGTTAGGTTGCGTTAACGCGGTAGGAGTTGGGGTTCCTTCCATCCCGCCCTAGGCGGAGCGAAAGCGAGGGTTTGCGGGGTAGGTAGCGCTGGAGCGGGCGGCCTGTGGGGATGGCGCTGCAGTTTGGGGGGCCGGGCCCGGTCGGGGGGACTGAGGAGCCGGCTTTAATCGGGGGAAGCTTTGGCGCGTCTGATTCGTTCCCTAAGGACTTCGGCTACGGAGAAGAGGAGGAGGCGGAACTGGAGGGGGGCTCCGGCCCTGGTGGAAGCAGTGGTGTCCCGGGTGTGGCTGGGGGCGGCCCGGGTGGTGCGGATTCCAAGCCCCGTATTCTACTCATGGGACTGCGGCGCAGCGGGAAATCGTCTATCCAGAAGGTGAGGCCTGTAGGTGTGGGGGGCTTTGGGGGGAGCGGGAGTGTACGGGGGCTGTTCGTGGGTAGAGGGCCCCAGGGGGTGGCTAAGGGGTGCAGGGGCTAAGATGTAGCAGCTCTATTTGTACCTGCACTTCGACTCTCGTCTTCCTTTATCTCTCTCCTCCTCCCCTCCACCACCCCCCCCCCCCCCATAAATGAGGCACCCGAATCTTGAGAAGAACATTTCTCTGAGCTGCAGTTCAGGCCTTGACACCGGTTATATAGGCGCTTCCAGTGTAGTTGCCTTTATTCATTGAAATGGGCCCTGAGCTTGCTTGGTCTTTCTGTTTCCCTATTTTCTCAGTAAATTGTGTGGTAAGCTGCCTAGGGCAGGGGGCCATTCCCTTTTAACTAACTATTTAGCAGGCCGGTAGCCCAGCGGCGGGGAGAGTGGAACTGGCTCCTTGTCTCCCGGGCTGGGGGAGGGTAAATGCCACCTGCACTGTCTTGAACCGTCTATGTGGCTTGTTTCTGATGAGAACTTCTCTCCACTTTGTACGTGTTAGTAGGCAACTTCTTCTTTTTAAAGTAGCAGCATATAGAGAAATTGAACAAAAAGGTTCTTATTTCCTAAAAAATGTATTCTCTGTCTGCAGAGATGTATGCTTCACGTTGAGTTTGGGCTTCAGCCTTTTTTATTTCTGATGCACAGGTGTCTTCTCCCCAAAACCAAGGTGTGCCTCAGGAAATGAAACAGGCAGATGTTTCTGAGATTTTTATCTACATGTTGATTTAAAAATAGGGTAAGCCACACCAGTGTGATGAATCTGCATTGTTGTTGTTAAAATTGCCAGTTCAGACAAGCCTTTAGTTTTTTAAACATTTTTTGGGAGCTACTCAGATTTCATTATCTGTGGGTGCAAAAGTATAATTAGATCTTCTGGATGATTTACTTCTTTGAGACAAAGAGAAAGATGGACAGTTTTGGATGGTGAATGCATTAACAAATGGCAACAATGTGTTAGACTTGCTGTTAGGCTTCATAGGGTTGCTAGGGCATTCTGCCCATCAAGGTCATAGTGTTGAGCTTCACAGTAGAAATCTAAGTTTAGAAAAATGGAACGGTGTGACAGTGATCCTCAATACTTGTCTGCAGCTCTTCAGAGTCTACACATAGCTCTCCTTGCTAAGCCCTTTTCTGTGACCCCCTATGTAAAGATGTGTCGGTGTATCGCAGTGTAGAGCATTGCCACGGCAGTAGCAATCTGAGCAATAACCTAATCTTTCTGGTTAAGACTTGTTAACCGTTCTCAACGTCTGTTAGCCAAAGGGCCAAGCCTTCCCAACAGCATGAAATTCAGTGGTCTGGTGGACTACCCTTCCTTCTGCCTAGTCTCCTGGGTTTATTCCCTTTCTCCTCCATCTCAAGTGCTTGGGTCGTATGACCTCATGCACCAACTCTGCTAGTCTTGACATTGCGTGCCCATGCCAGACTCTCACTTCCCAAAACAAGTCCTCTACTTTCAACTCGCCCATGGTCAGAGATCCCATGGTGGTCAAAGAAAACGCTACAAGACTCACTGAAATTGCATCTCAAGAAAACTGATGTGGACATCAGAAGCTGGGAAGAGCAAGCCACCAACCATTCCCAATGGTGCCACGTTCTCTGTCAGGCAGTGGCCCACTAGGAACACTAAGAAACACCTTCCCCCTCAAAGCTGAAAAAGAGAGCAGGAAGGAAAAAAGAACTTTCTTTCAGCAGGCAGCTGACCCACCAGGAAATGGCTGTACCTACTGTGGGTGGTTCTCTGGTTCCAGGATCAGACTCCTGAGTCATCTCAGGACCCATATGTAAATCTGTGGTACAGATCATCCTTGAATTGAGGGATCGCCGATGATGATGATAACCTCAGTTGGACGTAGACTCAGCTCGGAGCTCCAAAATAATGCTGCCATCACCAGATACGTAAACACTCTCAATTTTATTGTCGTGAGTCTTTTGGTACGTACTTGTTTAAAGCCCTGGACTTGGAGGTAACTTCAGTTTTTAACAAAAGTTTCTGGCTCTCACGGTTGTGGAGAAATACTGGAAAATGTGAAACCTAAAGATAATAAATCCAAAAGGCAGATTAAAAATTCCTCCAAATGTATTATTTTAAATCTCAGGATTAAACTAATCTCATGATTTCTGGGGGGCTTGACTCAAGACTTTTGAATGCTTGAGTCTGGCAATAATGTTAGTTCATGCTGGGCCTCACCCAGTGCTGCTCTCTGCTGGAGTGGGAGGAGGTCATTTGTCCCCCATACAGTTCTCTGCTTGCGGCTCCTAGCCTGCTCAAAAACAGGAAACATGGAGCTGAACTGCTTGAAGACCAGTGAAGGTCTCTACCTGCCATCCTAGCAGAGGACTCTTGTACTGGGAATCCCCCAATACCACCCCATCCAGCTAAGTGCTGTATATGGAAGGATCTAATAAGCCTTCTGATGGTGTTTTTCAAAGTTGGGGTTGTGACCCAGTACTAGGTTGCAGCATGTAAGGCACTGGGTCACTCTTATCAGCACCACTGACCGGGACTTTACAAGTGGATGGGAATCTGGGAGGCAGTGACCATGAGTTGGTTGAGTTCAGGATCCTGACGCAGGGAAGAAAGGTAAGCAGCAGGATACGGACCCTGGACTTCAGGAAAGCAGACTTCGACTCCCTCAGGGAACGGATGGCCAGGATCCCCTGGGGGACTAACTTGAAGGGGAAAGGAGTCCAGGAGAGCTGGCTGTATTTCAAGGAATCCCTGTTGAGGTTACAGGGACAAACCATCCCAATGAGTCGAAAGAATAGCAAATATGGCAGGCGACCAGCTTGGCTTAATGGTGAAATCCTAGCGGATCTTAAACATAAAAAAGAAGCTTACAAGAAGTGGAAGGTTGGACATATGACCAGGGAAGAGTATAAAAATATTGCTCGGGCATGTAGGAATGTTATCAGGAGGGCCAAATCGCACCTGGAGCTGCAGCTAGCGAGAGATGTCAAGAGTAACAAGAAGGGTTTCTTCAGGTATGTTGGCAACAAGAAGAAAGCCAAGGAATGTGTGGGCCCCTTACTGAATGAGGGAGGCAACCTAGTGACAGAGGATGTGGAAAAAGCTAATGTAGTCAATGCTTTTTTTGCCTCTGTCTTCACTAACAGGGTCAGCTCCCAGACTGCTGCGCTGGGCATCACAAAATGGGGAAGAGATGGCCAGCTCTCTGTGGAGATAGAGGTGGTTAGGGACTATTTAGAAAAGCTGGACGTGCACAAGTCCATGGGGCTGGACGAGTTGCATCCGAGAGTGCTGAAGGAATTGGCGGCTGTGATTGGCCATTATCTTTGAAAACTCGTGGCGAACCGGGGAAGTCCCGGATGACTGGAAAAAGGCTAATGTAGTGCCAATCTTTAAAAAAGGGAAGGAGGATCCTGGGAACTACAGGCCAGTCAGCCTCACTTCAGTCCCTGGAAAAATCATGGAGCAAGTCCTCAAAGAATCAATCCTGAAGCACTTGCATGAGAGGAAAGTGATCAGGAACAGCCAGCATGGATTCACCAAGGGAAGGTCATGCCTGACTAATCTAATCGCCTTTTATGATGAGATTACTGGTTCTGTGGATGAAGGGAAAGCAGTGGATGTATTGTTTCTTGACTTTAGCAAAGCTTTTGACACGGTCTCCCACAGTATTCTTGTCAGCAAGTTAAGGAAGTATGGGCTGGATGAATGCACTACAAGGTGGGTAGAAAGCTGGCTAGATTGTCGGGCTCAACGGGTAGTGATCAATGGCTCCATATCTAGTTGGCAGCCGGTATCAAGTGGAGTGCCCCAGGGGTCGGTCCTGGGGCCGGTTTTGTTCAATATCTTCATAAATGATCTGGAGGATGGTGTGGATTGCACTCTCAGCAAATTTGCGGATGATACTAAACTGGGAGGAGTGGTAGATACGCTGGAGGGGAGGGATAGGATACAGAGGGACCTAGACAAATTGGAGGATTGGGCCAAAAGAAATCTGATGAGGTTCAATAAGGATAAGTGCAGGGTCCTGCACTTAGGACGGAAGAACCCAATGCACAGCTACAGACTAGGGACCGAATGGCTAGGCAGCAGTTCTGCGGAAAAGGACCTAGGGGTGACAGTGGACGAGAAGCTGGATATGAGTCAGCAGTGTGCCCTTGTTGCCAAGAAGGCCAATGGCATTTTGGGATGTATAAGTAGGGGCATAGCGAGCAGATCGAGGGACGTGATCGTTCCCCTCTATTCGACATTGGTGAGGCCTCATCTGGAGTACTGTGTCCAGTTTTGGGCCCCACACTTCAAGAAGGATGTGGATAAATTGGAGAGAGTCCAGCGAAGGGCAACAAAAATGATTAGGGGTCTGGAACACATGAGTTATGAGGAGAGGCTGAGGGAGCTGGGATTGTTTAGCCTGCAGAAGAGAAGAATGAGGGGGATTTGATAGCTGCTTTCAACTACCTGAAAGGGGGTTCCAAAGAGGATGGCTCTAGACTGTTCTCAATGGTAGCAGATGACAGAATGAGGAGTAATGGTCTCAAGTTGCAGTGGGGGAGGTTTAGATTGGATATTAGGAAAAACTTTTTCACTATGAGGGTGGTGAAACACTGGAATGCGTTACCTAGGGAGGTGGTAGAATCTCCTTCCTTAGAGGTTTTTAAGGTCAGGCTTGACAAAGCCCTGGCTGGGATGATTTAACTGGGAATTGGTCCTGCTTTGAGCAGGGGGTTGGACTAGATGACCTTCTGGGGTCCCTTCCAACCCTGATATTCTATGATTCTAAGTCCTATCGGTGGTGCTGCCCAGTGAAGGCAAGCTAGTGCCTAACTGTTCCAACGCTGCGCCCTGGAAGCTGCTGGCATGGGGGCCACAGGGCTCCATGCGCTGACCCTGACCCGAGCATCGGCTCCGTACTCCAATTGGCTGGGAACTGGCCAATGGGACCTAAGGCAGTGCCTGCAGACGAGAGCTGTGCGGAGCAGCTTGT